TAGAGTCCTCTCCCTGTGAGATAGTAAGGGGACATGGAACACCTTGCTTCCAGATGTATCCTGTGTTTCCTCCTTATTTACTTTCTGAAAAGCTGTGAATGTGGTGATTGATATTGAAAATTTTATCTGACACTTTGCAGTGACTGGATTGTAGAAGCACACATGAAATCTAGCGAACATATATGTTTAGTACACAATAAATTAAACCTTGATATCATGGAATCATATTTTACCATTGCATCAGTAAAGAGTTAAATCAATGGCTGAGAGAGCAGTTTTCATAAAGCCTACTACTGGGATCTGGTATGGAAATATCTTTCCAACAATACATAAGAATATTTTTTTGCAATAATCCAGGTACACTAGATCAAAATTCTTTATAGGTAGATCAATTCCAACATTTAGGGATCTAATTTAATATCACATTAGCAACTTTAAATCTAATCTCCTTACTAAAACTTTATCAACAGTATTGAAGTTATCCTGCCAATGTGGAATAACGGGAGAACATGATGAAATTGTTTGTGTTAATGTACAATCTAATCTAATCTATTCTAATCTACTGCAACAAAGAAAGGTATAAAAATCAAATCTTTATAAATAACCATTGAAGACTCCAGTATAACTACTAGAATGCATGCCTGTGGAAAGTGCTGCCTGAGAGTCCCCAGGCTAATGAAGTGCAAAAACAGAGGGGAGTCTGTACACTTCCTTGGGGCTGCCCTCCTATCAACCTATTAAAACTTGCACCATCACTCCTAGTTTTCCTAGTATTAAAAACATGACTTTTTAAGTGTGCTTTTAAGTTCTAGGTGAGAATGGGAGATGTTTCTGAATTGCAATGCATCTGGCTACTTCTGTATTATAAGATGTTTTAGTTTTTATGATTATTTGTCTATCCAATTTATATGGGCACTCATTTCACAAGAAGTGACCCTGGGTGGCGTACAGCAAAAAATGTAAAAACAATAGATATGTCAAAAGCAATCAAATTAAAAAGTTTTTAAAAAGCATAAAACACACAAGGGATTAGATCAGCAAGGGAGCCACCTCAAGGTTTCACCGGTCCCCTGAGATCCCCAGGCCACATGACATAGCCAGGTCTAGAGGGACTTCTGGAAAATAGGTAGTGATGGAGATGACCTCACTTCGGGGGGGGGGAGAATGTTCTAGAAGGTGGGTGCAACAAATGGTATTATGATCATGTTAAATATATATTGATAGTATTCAGTATTATTTGCTGTATTTCATAATTCTGATTGTTTTGGAATTATTGTAATGTGTTGTACATATTGAAAGCCAGTGTGGTGTAGTGGTTAAGGTGCTGGATTAAAGAGGGGAGACCCACGTTCTAGTCCTCCCATAGGCCCAGAAGCTGGCTGGCTGACTTTGGGGTAATCACTCACTTTCAGCCCTAGATTGGGAAGATGAACCAGTGTGATATATTATAGTTCGTAACCTTTAATGAAGAGGCGTTTCATCTTGCTGCAGATACATATGACATAATAAGAATAAAAATATTTTGTTATATGCCACTTAGACTTGCACAATAGAATTGGTTCAGAAGAAAATAAAAAATAAACAATCTTAAGATAATAAATAAATAAATAAATAAATAAATAAATAAATAAATAAATATCTTAAGATTGTAAGAAACAAAAGAGATGACCTTTTGTTGCTGTCAATTTGTGGCCTGAGTGGGGTTGGAAGGACTTTGATTTAAAAGTAAACCAGACTTTAAAAATTTGAAAGAATTAGTTACCTATGTTTGACAGACAGATCCTTGTTTTCACTCAAAATTCTCTTTGGTTTAATTTGCTCTCACTGACAATTTGCTATCTAGTTTTCATTGTGAAAGATGGAGTTCAAATACTGAACTCACAAATAAATTGTACATGTTCATCTCAGATGTTTCTACCTTTTTTCAGAAATCAAGGAAAAACAATTACATTATTTAACAGAATTCTTATTTAATATATCTGAACTTTATCAGTTGCTCATATAACTCTCACAAGCTATTCATATAGAATAGAATCTCAACAAAGTAAATCATTGCTATAATACTTGATAATCTTTGAACTTTGCTTACGTTAGGATAGAAATGGGTTACCTACATGTTAAGAAACATGTATCTTATAAATCTCAACAAAGTAAATCATTGCTATAATACTTGATAATCTTTGAACTTTGCTTACGTTAGGATAGAAATGGGTTACCTACATGTTAAGAAACATGTATCTTATAGGTAAAATGGTAGAACATGCTGTTTATTGTCTTGCTTTAATGACTTCTGTTTTATTATATTTGCTGCACCTACATTAATATATCAC